TGAAGGAAAATATTATTTAAAAAAAAATCGGTTGAACATGTACTAGGTAAAAAGGCTTGTTTTGAGAATATAGGAGTGAAAGGTAGGCTTATTCCCAAATTATAAAAGATTGGCTCGTTTTGAGTAGATGGAGCAAAGGTGAGATTATTCTTTCCAATTTTTCCTAAATTATATATTTCCTCCATTACGTATTATCTGCAACATTTGCCATTTTGGGATGTTACAAGTTATGTGCAACAAAAAAAAAATTTCCTTATATAGTAAAATTTTTTAAGAAAATTTACTAAAAGACCCTTACTTCAATCCAATTAACACATTAACTACATGTTATTAACTTATTAACCTAACTTAATTAACCCTCAATAATAACACTAACACATATTCTCTCTCCTCCCTCACAACCAGATCCACCACCCACACCACCATATTCTCTCTCCTCTCTCTCAAGCTACCCTCACCTCCACTCTCCTTTCTCTAACAACCACCACTCCACCACCACCCTATTTTCTCTCTCCTCTCTTTCAAGCCACCCTCACCACCAATCTTCTCTCTCTTCTATCACAACCACCACAACACCACCACCATAAGATCTAGTCGCCGCCACTTCCTCCTCCATTAAAGTCACTGCCGCCACTTCCTCCTCCATTAAAGTCATCGCCGCCACTTCCTCTTCCATTAACGCTTCAAGTTGAGGTTTTTATGGTCAAATATAACCATGAAAACTCTAGATATAGAATTTTCATGGTCAAATTTGACCAAATAAACCCCAAATTAGCAATGAGGAGGTAATACTTTCCAAATTTAAGTTTTTTTCTTCATATTTTAGGGTGGTTGGTGGTGATTTTGGGGAGAGGGGAGGTAGGTGGGTGGTTGTGGATTTCAGGCAGAGGGGAGGGCGAGTGGGTGGTTGTGGGTTTCGGTGAGTGGGAGACGGTGGGTGGTTGACTGGGTGGGAGAGGGGAGGGGCGAGGGTGTTTACGAGGTTGCGGGTTTTAGGTTTGGTGGTTACGCCTGGTCGGTTTTGGGTGGTTGTGGGTCTGGTCGATTTTGGGTGGTTGTGGGTCTGGTAGATCTTAGGTGGTTGCTGCGTTTCGGGGATTATGGTGGCAGCAGCAAGGTGGATTTTGGGGGTTTCTGGTGGTGGTGTTGGTGTTCTGGTGCTATGGTGTTGGTGGTGAGAGAGTGGTTACAAGATGGGTGGTTACGGTGGTGAGAAAGTGGTTACGGCATGGGTGACTGGTGGTTGACTGGTGTTGGTGGTGTACTGGTTGTGTTCTGGTGGTGTTGATGGTGTACTGGTGGTATTGGTGGTGTACTGGTGGTGTTTGGGAGAGGATGGCAGTTGGTAGTGGTGGCCCTTGAATAATTAATTATCCCTCTTTCTTTCTCCTATCCTTAATCACACACCCTTCAATTTGTTAATCAACCATTAACAAATTTTGTTTCGGGAAACGTGCAACAAGGTTTGTTGCAGATAATACGTAACGGAGGAAGTACTTATCAAGATAGTACTCCCTCCGTGTTTTAATAAGTGTTACACTTACCAAATCCGACCGTATTTTAATAAATGTTACATTTTTTTGGGCAAAAAACTACATTTTAATATTATATTTTTCTCTCTCATATCCCTACACAAACCCAATATTACTTTTTTTTTTCTTTATTATTTCTTTCCTATCACATTCATTACTTTACAATAAACTATTAATTCCACTATCTTTCTTTTATATTTTTTTTAATACTTTAACTACCCCACTTACCTCTTATTTTATTTAAGTCAATTAAATTGCCTAAAACAGTGTGTCGGTTAAAGTGTAACACTTATCAAAACACAAAAAAAGTATAACTTAAAAAAAATACGGAGGAAACACTAGGTATGTACCTAAAACTACTCTTTACTTTAATTTGGTAATGTTAAGATAGAATATATCTTATTATATGATAGGAATATAGAATATATTTTGTGATCTTGTGATATTATCTTGTGAGGAGAATTATTCCCCAAATCATATACTTTGTATAAATATTCCATAACATTGAATGAGAAGATTGAGAATTGTGCTTAATTTGACATGGTATCAGAGCCAAGTTTAAAACCCTATTTTTTATTTTGCCGTGTGAGATCAATCTATATTACGACTTGATAAATTTCTTTATGTTCCTCAATTAACTTGGAATTTAATATCTGTAACTCAATTGAGTGATGAGTCTAAGTGTGTGATGCAATTTACTAACAAAATATGTGTTATACATGACCTTCAGACGAGGAGGGTGATTGGTGTGGCTGAACGTGAAGATGGACTGTACCTTTTCCATGGTGTTCCTCAAGTGAAGGTTCTAGCAATGGATGGAGAGTCTTTGTTCGATCTATGGCATCGACGGATGGGTCACCCTTCGGAGACGGTGTTGAAGATGATTCCGATTGTGAGTAGTTCTTCTAGGAGACATAATAATAAAGCATGTGATATTTGTCCTCTTGCTTAACAATGTAGATGTAGTTTTCCAATTAGTGAGAATAATGCTAGTCGTATATTCGAACTTATTCGTATAGATTTGTGGGGTTTGTATAAAACACCTTTTTCTTGTGGAGCACATTATTTTTTAAAAATAGTTGATGATTTTTCTAGAGGAGTTTGGATTTATTTATTTATTGAAAAATGAAACCGATGTTGAAAAGATGTTCTTGAGTTTTATTGCTATGATTAAATGTCAATTTGACCAAGTGGTTAAAATTGTTAGAAGTGATAATGGTACGGAGTTTAACTCCTTGCGTGATTACTTTTGTAAAAATGGCATAATATTTGAGACATCGTGTGTGGAAACACCACAACAAAATGGGAGAGTCGAGAAGAAACATCAACATATATTAAATGTGGCAAGAGCATTGAGATTCCAAGGAAATTTGCCATTGAAGAAGTTTTGGGGAGAGTGTGTTTTATCGGCTTGTCATTTGATAAATAGAACCCCCACACCTTTGCTTGGAAATAAAACCCCGTTTGAAATTTTGTTCAATAAACCACCTTCTTATGACTATATTTGTGTTTTTGGTTGTCTGTGCTATGCTCATAATCAAAGGAGTAAGGGTGATAAATTTGCTAGTCGAAGTAGAAAGTGTGTTTTTGGTGTATCCATTTGGGAATAAAGGTTGGAGAGTGTTTGATTTGGAAACCGAAGAAATTTTTGTTTCTCGAGATGTGCGGTTTTTTTAGACTATTTTCCCGTTTACTACCCCATTGTGTGAGGTTACATCTAGGGACAATTAACCATCCATGGTGGAATGATGAGTGGTTGTATGGGGGTGGAGATGTGCGTGGCAGAGAGGAGCCAAGGACAGTAAGCCCCGCAGCAGGGGGTTTAGACCACAGCACACCTGCGGAGGGGACTGCTGGCAGCCCAGCTAGTACTGTCCAGCCCGCTGGGAAGCCAGTAGGCGCTGACATGAGCAGCAAGCAGCAACCTGGGGATGCACAGCAGCGACATCAGCATGGAGCGTGTGAGGGGGGCTGGGTGTGTGCAGCAGTCGCAGCAGTATCGTGAGGGTGAAGGTGGTGCTAGTGTGCGTGAACATGGCAGTGGGGTTGAGGAGTTCGGAAAAGGGAAGCGACCAAAAATTCCATTGACAAAATTGCGAGATTATGTGACTCATACAATACGGAAAAATAGTCTATCCAACAAGGCTACACCTTCATCATCTTCCTTAGGTACTCCTTATCTCCTCACATATTTTGTTGATTGCTTGCGTTTTTCAGAAAAACATAGAAAGTACATTGCAGCTATAACAGCAGGTCATGAGCCTAAAATTTTTAAAGAGGCTATGAAGCATGCAGGGTGGAGAGATGCAATTGCCGCCAAGATTAGAGCTCTAGAAGAGCAAGGCACGTGGGTTCTTGAGAAGCTTCCGCATGGGAAGAAAGCTCTTGGAAGCAAGTGGGTGTTTACAGAGAAGTGAGATGAACATGTTAATCTACAAAGATTGAAGGCGAATTGGTAAACTTAGGCAACCATCAAGTTGAAGGTCTAGATTACAATGTGACCTTTGCTCCAGTGGCGAAGATGGTGACAGTTAGAACATTTATGGCAATTGTAGCTGTGAAAAATTGGGAAGTACATCAGATGGATGTGCACAATGCATTCTTGCATGGAGACCTAGAGGAAGAAATATACATGAAAATTCCTCCTGGTTTCAATAAAAACAATTCTAATTATGTGTGCAGGATGAAGAAATCATTGTATGGTCTAAAGCAGGCTCCTAGATGTTGGTTTGCTAAATTGACTGCAGCTTTGAAGATATATGGATTTAAACAATCCAACTCAGATTATTCTTTGTTCACATTGACCAGAGAAAAATTGCAGTTGAATGTGTTAATCTATGTTGATGACTTGGTTGTTGCAGGGAATGATAAAAATGCCTTGTCGAAATTCAAGGCAAATTTGGGAAATTGTTTTAAGATGAAAGATTTGGGAGTGTTGAAATACTTCCTAGGCCTTGAGGTAGCTCAAAGCAAACAGGGGTTCTATATTTTTCAACGGAAATATTCCCTTGACATTATTTCCGAGACTGGATTATTAGGTGCTAAGCTTGCAGATTTCCCGATGGAACAACATCACAAGTTGGCCGTTGTAGAGGGGAGGATGTTGGAGGATGTCGAGAAGTATAGGAGGCTTGTTGGGCGCCTAATTTACCTATCTGTGACTCGACTAGATCTTGTGTTTTCTGTTCATATATTTGTCTCAGTTTATGCAGAGTTCGAGAGAAAAACATTGGGAAGCTGCACTTCGTGTAGTACGATATTTGAAGAAGAATCCGAGTCAAGGAATACTTCTTCAGTCAGATAGTGAATTGAGGCTTGAATGGTGGTTGCTTCTGATTGGGCGAGTTGCCCTTTGAATAGACAGTTGTTGACAGGTTGGTTTGTGTTGCTTGGTTTTCCCCGGTGTCCTGGAAAACTAAGAAGCAACATACTATTTCAAAATCATCTGCGGAAGCGGAATATAGGTCAATGGCGGCCGTGACATGTGAATTAAAGTGGTTGAAACAACTACTACGCGATTTGGGTGTGCAACATTCGCAGGGTATGAAATTACTTTGCGATAGTCAGTTAGCTTTGTTCATAGCTCAAAATCCGGTATTTCATGAGAGAACAAAACATATTGAAGTTGATATGCATATTGTGAGAGATGCAATTAAAGATGGTTTGATTTCACCTTCGTATGTTCCTACAAAGATGCAATTGGTGGACATATTTACGAAGGCGTTGGGATAGGCTCAGTTTGAGTTTCTACTTGACAAGTTGGGCATTCGAGATCAACATGCTCCAACTTGAGGGGATGTTAAGATAAAATATATCTTATTATATGAAAGGAATATAGAATATATTTTGTGATATTATCTTGTGACAAGAATTATTCCCCAAGTCATATACTTTGTATAAATATTCCATAACATTGAATGAGAAGATTGAGAATTTGTGCTTAAGTTGACAGGTAATTTAAATTTTAAACAGCTTACAGGCCTGACTTCAACAATATTAGGGGTCAATCCATGTTGCTCTCCGTAATTAACTTGACAAAAAAATCACAGGGCATTTTCGTCATTTGAAGTTAAAAATAGGGGTGTAATTGGAATTTCACGGAGAAGTGTTAAAGGCATACTTGTAAACGACAGTTTACTCGTCATAACGCAGTTTGTGTTCACACCTAGTACAACTCCATTAATGGAGATTGAAAGCTCACAAATAGGGGAAAGCTCATCTTCGATGGTGAACATTAATGGAGAAGGGAAATATCACTTACCCTCTGGGGTTAATCTTACCCTGAATTTCTCCATTTTTTATAGGGTTTTCATTTAATATGGCGGCGGAGCCGCCATTAATAACGGTATTGGTGTCGGTGTAAGGACGAGGAAGATGAAAGTGGGTACGATTGCGGGAAGAAAATGAAAATGGTGGATGATTTCTAGTTTGTAGGAGGAAGAAGTAGCTGGTGGTCACTTCTAATGGTGATTTGCAGGAGGAAGAAAAAGATCTAGGGTGGGTAGTTCCGTTTTAACTCCGTCAACAGTACAAGCTTTTAAATGGTCTGACGTGGCATAACAGTTTTGAACATATTAACATAAATGCCAATGAGATAAACAAAGAAGTTTATCACTGAGAGCAACCTGGGCTCTCTCCAATATTAGAATTTGATATTTGTTTCAGCAGAACAGAAAAAACGGCTGCTAATCTCTCTCTTACATACTTCCGCTCCCCACCTTCTTCTGATTTTTATCCTATTAATTTAAATTCATCTTGTCCTCCCAAATTCTCCAAACACATCAACAGTCACAGCCGCCAACTGCGCCATTACCCCACTTCATTATATTCTGTAAGTTCAATTTTCCCAACTTTATCAATCTTTGAATTCATGGCCTTTGATGAATTTCATTTAAAAACATTTTAATCTTTACAAATGGGTTTACTTTTAATTTTTAATAAACTACAGGTTAGTAGAAATCAGCGACAAATTTCTCCAATTTTTAACAAATTTGAGCCTGAGCCTGACTCAGAAGATGAAGATGAAGATGAAGTGCAAAGTACAGGAGTTAAAGCTGCGTTATCAATGCTCAAATTCTATAAAAGTGAGTATTACTATACTGATTTTTTTTTTTCTAGTTTAATTTCTTAAAAAATAATGACCAAGTTAATTATTTGATGTTTTAATTGAGATCTATATGTTGTTAGTAAGTATATTATTTTAATTTTGATGGCAGGAGAGATATCGCCATTGTTGCCAAAGAGTTGCCGTTATGTACCATCATGTAGTGAATATTCGATGATTGCTTACAAGAAATATGGAGTTGCTAAGGGCACTATATTGACTGCTTGGCGCCTTTGTCGTTGCAATCCGCTAGGTAAATTAATTTCTTTCGTTTTTTTTGGTGGATAATCTGTTATATTGGTTTAACTTGAATTACTCTCCGTTGTGTTCCACCCGGTCTGATATTGAAAAAATGTCGTAGATAGTGTAATTTGAACTAGTAATGTGTCAACTGAAGTCAGACAGAAGGAATACATGAGTGTGGCAAATTATCCTATTTAGCCCGGGAAATTCTTACAAAAGCTAAGTTAGTGCATGAGTCTTCCTGCCTCTTGTTCAGATGCTCTACACTTGGGATAAGACTATAGTGTTGAATTTAACTTCCTAATTTGGTCGTGCTTGATCGAGTAAATCACATTGTTTGGTTAAGATCATTGGCCAATAACAAAAGTACTATAATTGCTTTAGATAGGAGGTAACAGCAGCTTCTAGGCTTTTGAGAATATCGTTCTAAGTGGCATTTTATTGTCGGTAGCTCTGATTAGAGGTTTGTTGGCCGACTCCCATTGATGATTCATGTTGCCAGAGAGCCTGGGCTTTGACTGTGTTACTGATCCAAGTTTCTGTAATTATTCTCCCAGCTGATTTCTACCCTTATCTCTCCGAATCTACTTTCAACTCGTGTCAAATGCTTGATCGCATTTCAATATTATTGAAAGGGGTTTGTTTGTTACCTGTTTTTTCATGATTCTGGAGTTCATCGTATGGAATTTCGTCTTCATAATTTGAGGAGGTTGAGGAGTGTGCGAAAGTGCTGGTTTAGAGTGATTCAGAAAAGCCAATTATGCTAGTTAAAGAGTTGAAACCTAAGGGGGATATTTTTAGTAATCAAGGAATGGCAGTAATGGTTTTGAGAGATATATAAACGACTGCAGGATTCAATGCTGAATCCATCTCTTGTTGGAAGTTGCAAAACGTAATCATGATTAACTTATATCATAGAAATGATAGAAGGTAATTGTGGATCTTTTAACCTTTACTTATTAATCTGTGCTGTCAAGCTAGAGAAAACATATAAGCTCCTGACTTGTGTTCCCTTATGTTGTGATTTGACCAAAAAGTTGTAAATGGCGTTATTAAGAAGAGCCTTGTCGTCTGTTTACCTTAGAAATCTTTAGAAGGAATAGTCTGACTTAGATATAGGTCACCAAATCTAGCCAAAGAACTACAAAGCTATCAAGAAATTGTGCAAAGAGTATGATAAAATATCATCATGATGGTCCTTATATTAAAGATGACTGTATTGTTGGAGATGATCTTTCATAGGAGACAGATAAGGTTGAATTAATGGAGGAAGTATCGTAAATCTTCTTGGAATGCATAACTAAACCTCAAATGGAAGCTAATGTGAAGGACATGGCGGTACCTCAGAATATAGGCTAAGGATATTCCAACTCTTGTTTACACATTTGAGGAAAAGATATAATTGGTGCTCTTGCAGATAAAGTCAAGAGCAAGAGGATACAGTTTACCAATCATGTCTTTTTCACTAGTAGCTTTCCCTTGAAAAAAAAGTCAGGTTTATCACCCATATTCCACACCTTTGATAATAATTAGTCGTTACTCGTTAGTGAATGGAGTTTAGATTGGGAAAAATCCTATCAAAATGCTTGTTCCAAAATTGTGGGAAAGTTACTTGAAAATATATAATGGATGCTACAGAAGTTGAGGTTGCTGCGGATATTGGGTGCATTTCAAACCCCATAGGAGAGGTATACTTAGATTTGAAAGATGAAAGAGAGTGGGCTAGAAGATGCTTCAAGGCCAAAGGAATTCAATGGAGAGGTAGAGAGCCATGTTTCCTAAGAAATGAAAGAGGCTTTGCTAGAGATGGACAGGGAATGAATCAAAGAAATAGGAGTGTGTTTGTAAAGAATTCAGTACTCAAACTTGAACCAGCTAGTCTTCAAACTTTGCTAAGATAATGTGATCCCAAAGAGGTAAGATCGTTAATAAACCTGATGGCAAAATTGTATACAGGTCTAAGCTCCAAATTAGAAGAGGAAAATGGAGCGTAGTTATCTACACTTGGTGATAGTGGAATTCATCATTAAAAAGTACAATTCTTCAGTTTTTTTTGACAATATTCTTCAGAAATTGAAGTCTTAAATTATGCTATTAGCCTAACATTGCTCGAATTGTGTCCATACTAATGTTTATCATGCACTGGGAGGTGATCTGGTCCATAATAAGTCTTAAGATATTTCACTTTTACTCGCTATTTATTTTTGAAAGAAACTTTTTCTCGATATTTATGTCAATGGATTAAAACCAAGGAGCTAAAACTGTATAGTGACTAAAGGTGAGCTTTATTGAAGGTGGCTCAGGCTTTGATCCTCCAAGATGGTTTGGCGAGGAAAGGGTATCTGAGTCATCAGAGGAGTGAGAATTTTCCACGATCTTCATCCAATATAGGTATGTAATAAAAAAAAGCTTGAACTGTGGATATTGAGGCATGTATCCCTTTGAATCTATTGTTACTCAGACTTGGGTACTCATGTCCGACACAAGTAAGTGTCTAAGTTTCCGACTCGGCTATTTTGTGAAAAATTTATGTGATTTTGAAGTGTGCAAGTGTCATACCCATGTTTAAGTGTCTAGGGTCCGACACAGGTACTTGAGGTAAATTAAAGAGTCCGAGTAACACAGCTTTAAATTAAAGGAGAATACTTAAAAAGACAAGGTTTAGTGAGGGGCATTTCTTTTTTTAATTGAATATAGTCAGTTATTAAAATTTCAATTTATAGGTTAGAATCTTACAACTTTACGATTTATGATTCTACCCGATTTTACATATTTCTCTTAACTTGTAAAATTTTTACAAGTTTAAAACATGCCTACAAAGCTATCTATACTAATATATTAAAAGACATTTTTAAAAACATCGATGGCCACGTAGTCCCTTTTTTACTGCGCCATGTCACCTTCCAAACATTTCATGACGCCACATCATAATTCAAACAATCTTAACTATTACGCCATGTCACCTAAGAAACCAATATTATTTCATATAAAAACATAAGGATAAGGAGATTCGACTCCTCAACCTTTTATAACAAACATAAGTGTTTAACCATCTAAGCTAATTATCAATTATGTTATTCATATGTAAAATTTTTTATATAAATGCAAACCACAAGGTTAAATTAAAAAAAAAAACTCAAAGAAGGGTTATTCATCTCTAGTCCACCACAAGAAGAGTTGCATCAAGAATTTGAACAAGAGAATATGGGTGAACCACCTAGAATTGCATTGAAGGAGATAGGCATCCCGGGTGCTTGACAGGTTCTAGTCGTATCACCTGATCAAAAATAATTCCTAATTCCTCTAACTAAAGCATATAAGGAAGTAGGGTTGAATCCACATGGAAGCAATGTTCTCTATTTCTAATAAATTAATATAATATATTAATAACCAGAGTGATTTTATATGAATTATACTAAAGTAACTAATTAAACTAACGCGATTAAGAATTATAAGAATACCAATAAATCAAAGCTGAGGGTATATGTTCACCAATAAATAATACTTCGGGATGAAAGACAACAATAAATTCTCAATGCATCAATTCATCAGATCATAAAAAGCTTTCGCTACGTATCACAATCACAAAATTAATCTAGTGGTATTAAATCGCATCTCTCGAATCTTGATTTAACCATTTAAAAATTAATCTGCCTCTTGAACTAGGAAAAATTGCAAATAATAATACAACATTTGGCCCGTTCTTTTTTAATAATGCAACCTTTGGATTATACTCCCTCTCTCCCTATTTTTTTTGCCCCGTTTGATATAGCACGGTCTCCAAGACGCGTCTTAAAATGTCTATATCTTTATTTCAATACACGTAAAATTATAAAAACGTAATATTAATAAAGTATACAATGAGACGAATCTAACAAGACCACTCATGACTATATTATCTTTTATTGATTAACGGTAATTTATGCTCAAAGTTTTTAAAGTTTGACCCAAGAAATGGCAATGGGGCAAAAATAAAAGGACGGAGGGAGTACATGAATATTACAACCTTTGAGGGGTGTTCATTTTAAATAGGCAAAAACCGGTTAGTTACCTGTTTTACTGGTTACCTTGACACGTGTCATCATTTAATTGGTTTTGTTAATTTAATTTAACTTTTAAAAATTTATTTAATGTTTTTTAATTTTTAAAAGATATAAAATAATAAAAATTACTTTTATTATTATTATTATTATTGTAAAAAAAAACAAACCACTACCCTACCACCACCTTCCCCAATCCCCACCATCCTACCACCATTCCCTCTCCGTATCCCCTACACGCAACACCCCTCCCGCAGCCTAGAAACCGGCCGGCCGGCGTCGAACGCACCCACCGTCGGCCGACCTATCCTTTGTAACCCTGACCAGTCCGAAACTCCCACACACACCACCTTATGTAGCCCCGATCCTACCCCTTCCCGACCACAGCAGCCAACCTCCACCACGAACTTCTAGCGAATCGTAATCAAACACTCACAAACAGCAGCCGGCGAATTGGACCAAACTCCCACAAACCGCTGCCGTTCTCGATCCTCGCACAAACAGCGAAAAGCCGCGCCACCAATTGCCATAAAAAAAATTCAATCAATTCCTCTATCTAATCAAAACCGATCCAAAAACAATCAAAATTTTTAAATCAAACAAAAAATTCTTAAATCAAACTTCAAAATCACCAAAAAAAAATCAAACAAAATTTCTGGTTAGGGTTTGGTTTGCTGGCTGTGGTGGCGCAACGAGGGAAGGGGGAAAGGGAGAGGGTGGGTCGACTGAGGGTGGTGAAGCTAGGCGCCGGCCGATCGACGTCAGGGAAGGCTGGTGTGGGGGAGGGGGAGAGAAGGTCACTGCGTGGTAGGGAAAGTGGTGGCCGAGCCTTTTTAATTTTTTTTAATTTGTTAAAAAATAATCGCAATTAATGACTTCATTGAAGTTAGTTAAAATTAAAAATCTATAATTATTTATTTTCTTAAAAAATTTAATATTAGACCAGTTGCATGACGAGACGTGTATTGAGTAACCAGCTTAACATGTTATAAGTTTTTTTGTCTTGTTTAAAATTGAGACCCCCCAAAGGTTGTAATTTTCATGCATAATCCTATGGTTGTATTATTTAGAAAGAGCGGGCCAAAGGTTGTATTATTTTTTGCAATTTTCCCTTGAAACTAAGCCTAAACATCAATTCTCATTTGTTGAATCTCGAATCAATATTGCATAACTCATACAATTAAATCAGGCCAAATCTAATTGCATAACATTAAATCTATCAATAGGAAATTAATCAAAGCATTAACAATCAACAATAATAAATCTTCCCTTCATATTATTTACGGATTCTCAAAAACCCTAGAAATAAACTACTCAAATATAATGAAATCTAAGCTAAGCAAAACAATTAACAAGCCATAATTAATCAAAACAATAAAATTACTAGAAATTCTTTCCTCACATCCTCCACCTCCTTAATTATCCACACTCAAATGCTCATTTACCAAAGGATTTTCATCATCACCACTCATCCCAACTCCGATCCCTCATGAGACTTCTTCTCTACCACGGGGTGACTCCCCAACACCTTCCCACTCTTAGTTGTCACGACATACATGGGTTTAGGGTTAACCTCTTGACTAGGAAGGGAAAAAGAAAAAGACGAAAGAGATGTATTAGATGTAAGTTTAGCAATTTGAGTTTCTAGCATCTTCATGTGAGCATTTGTTCGCTTCCTCTCCTCATTATTAAATTTTCTATCTTCCTCTAGACTCTTTATTATGGCATCAAGCTTAGCCATCGATTGGTCATTTGGAGGAGCCTCAAGTTGAAGAGGTTGTTGAGGTGGAGGAAGTTGGGGTTGATTAAAACCCGTAGGCCTATTGGTTTGGGTATAGTGAGTAGAATGTTGAGCCCTATTGTCCCCAGTGCCTTGGTTGGAAACATTCCTTTGTTGATTGTACCCCATGTTACTTTGATCACCAAAACCTTGATTTGATGGTCATAGTAGTGGGATAGTCTCTTTAAGTACGGCAGCGTCTTCCATTGTGATTGGAAGGACCTCCCTTACCAAGGTATTGATTATCAAAACCTTGATGGCCGGATAATAGGTCGTGGGCTACTATCCTAGATCAAATCAACAATTTATATTCCTAATCTTACTCTACCAATTAAGATTACACAAGATAGTGGCAAGCTAGGGTTGAACCACGAGGAAACGAGGAAATGCACGATCAAAGTTAAATTAAGAATCTATTGCAAGGTAACAAGGGGTATTTTGAATTCTTTTTTTGTTGTTTTCAATGAGCAAATAAAACTTCCACAAATGATAAAAGCAAGTAAATGAAATGAAATCAAACCTAAAGAATTAAAAGGAAGATGAAACACTAGATTTGGGAAATATGATCAAAACACTAGGGATAGGGGGTTCCAATCATGATCAACTAAGGCAACAATGAAGATTAACATGGATAGATGCCAAGGAATACAAATTCTATCCAAATAATTCATTCCCATGCAATTATTCAAGCAAATTGATAAAAAAGATCAACAATAAACTAGATCATTCCCATGCATCCTATTTAGAACTCAAGTAATGTAATTAAAGGTGCATATCAATAATTCCAAGTAATTTAAGCACAAAATTCATCAACTCAAGGCACTATCCAATCAATCATCATTATATTCCAAGCTAATCATGATCTTCACCCCCTTCCCTAACTAGAAATCTATGCTAGAGAAGAGAAAATAGCCATAACAACTACTCTAAGCATGAGTTCAAATTTAACCAAACAAAACATGATTCAAAACCAAAGTAATTCAACTAAACAAGTAAAATCAAGGAAATTGATGAAGATCAACACAATTAAAAGCAATCAAACAAAACAAAAAAGAAAGAGTTAAGAAATTACTACTATGAAGCTTGATTGATAAAGAAAACATGAAATACTTGCATTAGATTGAAGAAAACTTGAAGAAATCTTGAGTACAATGACGAAACTTTAAGATTAAACAACTTTCTCTCTTTAAAATACCAATAGTTTCTTTCACTACAAAGCTCTAATAATATTTTTAAAATTAGATAATTCACATATTCAAGTAAAAGTCTATTTATAGTGCTTAACAAATCTGGAAATAACGAACTAAGCCAAGCTATCTCTAGCTGCACCGCGCCCTCTTTCATCTGTGTACGGACAAGCAGACCTCAAGGACCGCGCCCGCGGCCTGGATCACTGCGCCCGCGGTGGCTGATGGAGAGGCCTCTCTGGACTGAGGAGAGGCCGCGGCGCAGGAACAGGGGGAGTATGGCTGGCAAGGGACTGCGCCCGCGACAGGCTGAGGAGAGCCCTCTCTTGGAGCGTGGGCAGCCATCTAAAGGTTCTTCGGGGAACCTCCAAAATCTCCTCTTCGCGCTCGTGACTAAGAAGCCCACGTCCGCGGTCCTTTGGGTGACAGGGCACCCTCTCCAACTGGCATCGATCTCCACTCCATGACAAAGCATAGCTCATCTAACTTCATCCAAAAGTGCCCAAAAACCTAAAAATCAAGGATAAAAAGGATAGAAAACACATGAAGAAGAAAGTCACGAGAGAAAGCAAATATGACAAATATAAGGGTAAAAATTACTAGAGAAGGCGCAAACATGTGACAAATGAGGGTAAATCCTCCCTAAAGAGGGGTGGGGCATAAGGTCACTCCTAAAAAACCCCCAAACTTGCCTCTTGCTTGTCCTCAAGCGAGACTAAAGAGAGAAGAGAAAAGAGAAAAAGCAAACACTACAATGACTAACACAACATGGCAAGGCTTAAGAAAACCAATCAAGTTTTAGAGTGGAAAATGCTCCATTTGGACTCAAAAGGGAAACGACAAGCACCAAAGAATACTCACCTTTCTCAATTAAACGAGGGAAAACACGTCCTAAAATGTCTATGGTTGAGAATGACAAACCTAAGCTAAGCATAGAGAACTAGTGATTTCATTCTACGCCCTAGTCCTAACAAAAACGGGCCGCGTTCTCCCCACTAGCTTCAAATCTTAGTTACCTCCTCATGATTTCGCAAAGGAATTGGAAAAGGATATGTTTATGTGGAAATATAAGGTTATCCCGACATCTCAACTATGCATACTCTCTCCACAGGGTTATAGTCTATCTCCCTCCACCCCTCTAAAGTCTAAGGGTCTTTACAATTTTTTTTGATGTCAAGGTTAAAGGTATAGGTAGGGAAATAATTTGAAAATTTTGTGGCAATTCCTAAGTGAAGCAAAAGAGGGGCCCTCTCTCAAAAACAAACTTAAGGAATCACCAAATTTCAAACAAACAACCAACAATTCAATTCTCATAACATTACCACATTTATTCAGGAAAAAGATTTCGATTTTTTTTTATTTTTTATTTTTTACTTTGCTTGGAACATCATTTGATTTTCTTGAATTACACTTTTCTTCTCAAACTCTTCATCCATATTCGTTTTATGCGCAACTTCCAATTTCTCACTTAAACCAATTTCAATATGCTTCTTGCTCATAATCAACTCACTCAAAACACAAACCTTACATGTCAAATGCTTCACTAAACTAAGATGGTGGGGAAAACATAGGCCATTAAGTTTGTAATGTGGCTAAGACAAGAAAAGGAAAATTAGGCTCAAATTGGTTAGCAAGATAGGTAGATGCAAAATAGAAAATCAAATTTGTAACTAAACAAAAGGAAATACCAAAATGAGAAAAAGTGCCCTTCTCCTCCCTTAAAGTGGCTTGGTCACGATCTCGGGAGCTAGAGGTCAACACAAGGATTAAGACATGCATAGTCAAGGATCCTAGAGCGCCACATAGTAAAGTGATGGAGGCTAGAACAATATAATCCTCACTAGGGATGAAAACAAGCAAATACCAACAAAGGCTTCAAATCCACTATAGAGAGCAACTCCATCTTACCACTTTCCCGTGAACTAAGGTTTCAAATGGCCTTAAAGTTCTTAACCTTGCTACCTTAGCGTTAAAATTTGTCAAATTCAACCAAAAGCACTCTCAAACCGTGTACTCCATCACTGACTAGGAAGAAACAAGCGTTCTAAGGTACAATATCAAAGCAATCGAGTCCAAATATAATAGAAAAATCTAAAACACATGATTTTCAACTTGC